GAGAAGCCATAAAAGTTGGAAAGGGGAGAGGAAGTCCTGTAAAAGTCATGGCATTCATTGCAGGTGAAATGTCTTGAAACATCATTTCATGTGTTCTTTGATCTACATAAAGCCGAAGTAAGTGCATCTTCACTGTGTAGAAAGCTGCACAGAGATGTGTGATTATAATTCTCAAGCACGTGCTACTGCAGTACAGTTGTGCAATTTGCTTGCAAGTTTCTGATGCTTTTTTGCTTGGAGTCATATTTCGTGACATTTAGAAGTCTACACAGAGTGGCAGAAAATCCTGGGGAATTTGACAGCACTAATGCAGAAGAGTTTTCTAGTCAAGCTTCACACAAGAGGCATCATGAAATCCAACTAAACCAAGTGAAGGATATCAAAAACAATTAAGAATAAGAGGGGGAGACACAGGACTGCAAGGTTAAGAATGTCATAGTGAATAATTTGTGGCGTCATTCTCCTTATTACCTTGACGATTTCCCATGAGAATAATTTTCTTCATCTTGAAAGCATTGGTTAGCACTCTTGGAGTGGAGTGCGTTAAGAGTGGCTTTGGCTGATGGGGGAGAGATGGGTATCCTTCATCAGAATTTGAATTTCTAAAGCAGCCTGGATTGCTCACTGTACTTTTCATATTCTTATCAGTTGCTTTTTATTGTATTAACTAGTAGCACAATATGTTTGCATGACTTGAATCGAGTACTGGAAGAATATTACTTTGAATTGAATATTTTTTTCTGGAACCACACATTCCATGTGATTGCACATCAAAAATCCAGTGCGGCAAAGTACGTAGGGTGTTAGAGTGTTATTTGAAGATCTGGTTCTAGTCCCCACTCAGCCATGACGCTCGCTGGGTGACTGGGCCACTCACGGACTCTCGGTCTAACCCACCCACTGAGTTCTGGCTGTAAGGATAAAATGGAGAGGAGCAGAACCAAGTGAGCTGCCTTGGGTTTCTTGCTAGGGGAAGGAAGACCGTGTGTTGATGTAGTGATGATGATGGAAAATGATAGTCAGATAACAGCAATATAGGTGTACAAGTATCATGTAACAGGTCTACTGCTTGGTGACTGCACAGTAACAAAGCCCGAGCGCCAAGTGTACCAAGAGAATTAGATCCGGCCTTTGAGAAATTTGTGTGCCAGTTCTACATCCATCACAGGGGTAGCCAAACTGAGGCTTGAGAGCCACACACAGCCCTCTGAGTTCATTTTGTGGCTTGCAGAGGGGCCAAAATGCGTCAGTGCGTGATTCTGTTTGGGACCAATGAAAGAGGAGCAAACAGAAGCACCTTCCAGTGAAGCCGCTATGCTGAGGTGCTGTTGTTCTCTAGTCCTCCATCAGCCATGTGGATGACTGTGATTGGCCAATCGGGGCCTTGTTTTGAAGCCAAAATGGCAGTCCACTGTTCCTGCGCTACTTTTTTTTAAAAAGGGCAACACAATTTGTAACCTATAATTGGTAAAGAGCCTCTTCTTACTAGAAAGCTGATTGGGTGTCTTGGTATTCCTTGGCTTGGGGAAGGGTTTGCTGTGGATAATACCTTTGCAGCAACTAAACCTTTGTGTCTTCTGCAATATGTCACTTGTAGCAATGCTTGTTTGGACATAATAAATAAATATTTTTCATGTCTTGCAGTTCTCAAACATCTGACATTTACCATATGTGGCTCTTCCAGGCACAGATGCTAAATGACTATTTTGCCTCTGTGTTCTCCCCAAAGCAGGATGGGGGAGATCCGCATAGGAGATTAGATGAGGCCGGGGACTTGGGGGCACAGATTAGAGTTACCCCCCTAGAAGTTGAGGGGCTCCTCAGTGCATTGGACATTACACAGGCGCCAGGTCCTGACGGGTTACACCCGAGAGTACTTAGAGAGTTGGCAGGGGTACTCTCATGCCTGCTGGCCTCCATTTTTGCGGCCTCGTGGAGAACGGGTGAAGTTCCAGAGGACTGGAGGGTGGCGGCAGTGGTCCCAATTTTCAAAAAGGGTAGTATAAGGGACGTGGGGAATTACAGACCAGTTAGCCTTATGTCCATTGTAGGAAAAACAATTGGAAAGGCTCATAATAGAGAGAGATCTAGTGATGCTAGATAGGGAAGGGAGGCTGGCAGCCACACAACACGGCTTCTGCAAAAACAGGTCCTGTCAGACAAACCTTGTGGAATTCTGTGACAAGGTTTCGAGATGGCTAGATGGAGGGGATGCAGTGGATGTGATTTACCTGGATTTCAGCAAGTCCTTTGACAATGTGCCCCATGATATCCTGGTTGAGGAGTTTTGGGATAGACAAGCACTGTCCAATGGATTAGGACATGGTTGACTGACCGAAAGCAGAGGGTAACCATTAGTGGGGAATCATCGGAATGGCGGCCAGTGACAAGCAGGGTCCCCCAGGTCTCTGTCCTGGGCCCGATCCTGTTTAATCTTTTCATCAATGACATGGAAGAAGGGGTGAACAGTCTGCTGATCAAATTTGCAGACGACACTAAAACTGGGGCAGTGGCCACAACCGAGGAGCAGGTACTCCAGATCCAAAATGATCTGGACAGACTATGGAAGTGGGCAGGGGACAACAGGATGGCGTTCAGTGTGCATAAGTGCAAGGTCTTGCACTTGGGGCATAGGAGTAGGTGTCATAAGTACAGGTTAGGGGACAAGTGGCTGGAGAGCAACACTTGTGGAAGGGACCTCGGGGTGCTGGTTGACTGCAGGCTGAACATGAGTCAGCCGTGTGATGCAGTGGTCAAGAGGGCGGACGCCACCCTTGGGTGCATAGCCAGAAGCATAGCTTCTAGATCGAGAGAGGTATTACTGCCACTCTATATGACTCTGCTGCGCCCGCAACTGGAGTATTGTGTTCAGTTTTGGGCCCCTCATTACAGGAAGGATATAGCCAGGTTAGAGTCAGTGCAGCGTAGGGCCACAAGGCTGGTGGCCAGTTTGCAGGGTATGCCATATGAGGCGAGACTGAGGGAACTGGGTCTCTTCAGCCTGGAGAAGAGGAGACTCAGAGGGGATCTGTTGGTGACATACAGCTCGGATGTGAGGGGGTATCACATGGAGGTGGGTAGAGACCTGTTCTCCCCTGTAGAGGAAGGCAGGACGTGTGCCCACGGAGCAAAGCTCAGGGAACCCAGGTTCCATTTAGATGCCAGGAAGCACTTCCTGACAGTTTGGACCCCCAGGGTATGGAATGGGCTTCCACGGGAGGTCGTTGAGGCCCCATCGGTAAGGGTGTTCAAGGATAGGCTGGACATGCACATGGTGGGCATGTGGTGAGTGGAGCCAGCTGGAGCTGGGGGTCAGACTAGATGGCCCGGGAGGCCCCTCCTGACTTGCTCTGTTTCTATGTTTCTAAGTCTGGCCACCTCTGAGCTATTGTTTCTCATGGCGGGGGGCGGGGGACTGGTGTCCAGATAATGATTTGATAACTACAGCTGCAATCTCCCATTCCTTTTGGGCTCCCTTCATCCCTGCAGTTGCTCTTGAGCCAAGGCCATTGCAAGGATGAAGGATGTGGTTAATAATGAGGGCAAGGTGTGTGATATACTGAGTTTGCAGCCTCCAGGCAACACGCAATAATTCCAGTTGCCTTCCCAACAGTTTTCCTGTTTGCTACAATATATAAGAATACACTAACTTCTGAGCAGCTGCAGGTGTTAAAGCTTTTCACCCATGAATCATATATCCAAACAACCTTCTCTAGATTTTAATAAATTGCACAGCTGCTACAGTCTGCTTCGCAACACCCCCCCCCCAACCCTAAATCAACCAACACACCATGAGACTGGATAAAGATACTGGACAGAGCTATTCTAATCCCCCTCTTCTGCTGTGTAAATTAATATCACTGGCCTGCTTTGCAGGGCTTACACAATCCAGCACACTGTCAGCTACCTCCTGACTTCCGTAATGCAGATAGTAAGGATGACCTTTGTCTGCATGCATTGTCAGGAAAGTTTGCAAATGGAGAAAAAATGGAGAAGAAATTAGTTAGAAAGATTACTGTTTAGGTAGACACAGTACTGTTCAATCAGAACAATACTAAAATTTTGGATTTCTAGATTGATTTTTTGAACCATTAATCAGTTCCCGCCAGGGAATGCTCTATTCCCAAAGCATTAAAATGAACCAGGGCTTTTCTTCTCCAGAAGTGGGTGTGTCAAACATTGCTGTGACTTCATACATTAACTAGCAACCCTGAAGGTGGGAGCAGACTAATTTTGCTTACAAAATTAATGGGCAGAATCGTGGCTGTTTGTTTTGCCTCAAAACACAGATTCTGTGAGGTCTAGAGACATGTCTTTTTTCAGTTCTTATGAAAACTTGGAATTAGGATTATGGTTTAAGGGGGTGGGGTGGCAACTGTCACTCCTTGTCCCTTCTTGCACATGCCATGAACCTGAGAATTCTACATAAATAAATAATAAATATTAGATTTATGTCCTGTCTTTTTCACTTTAAAGAACTCAAAGTGTCTTATGCCATTCTCCTCCTGCTCCTCTCAATCTTATCACCACAACAGCAACACTGGGAGGTTGGTTGGGCTGAGAGCCTGTAACTAACCAAAAGTCACCCAGTTGGCTCCATGGTGGGGTGGGGACTAGAACCCAGATCGCCTGAGTCCCAGTCCTGCAGTCTTAACCACTACGCCGCACTGGTTCTCTAATGTCACTCATATCATTCAATCTGATTAAAGTGGTACAATTTGAAAATATAGGTCAATATTAGGATGGGATTGTACGTTACCAGTACCTAGTGGAAGATACGACTTGCTCTCAAGTCTCACTAGAATATATGGACTCCTGGAAATAAGAATGTTTTCTTAACAGAATTGTTAATTATCTCAACCCCTTAATGACCTTATGGTATGTTTTAATTGATCTTGCTGTGTGTTTAATACGCATAGAAACCAGGCTGAATAAAATGTTGATGTTTGTGTAATAAAGGGCATTTTATACTGACTATTCTGATTTTTAAACTTCAACAGACTATCAAAGCTTTTCCTGTGTGAATTCTGTCTTAAATATATGAAAAGTAAAAATATTTTGCTAAGGCATGCAAAGAAGTGTGGCTGGTTTCATCCTCCAGCCAATGAAATCTACAGAAGGAAGGACCTTTCAGTGTTTGAGGTAGGCAAGGTTTCTTTTGTCTCAGTAACATTTAAATCATACCAGTAAGGTTGGTGCATGAGGGAAGTGAGGAGCATTCCTTGAGAACAGGGCTTAGCTGAAAATTTGTCTTCAGTCTTCAAACCTTCAAAGTCCATAACATAAGCATTTCCCCAGAACTTGGTAGAGCCAATTTAATGTAGGAGCTGTCAGAATATGAAAAAGAACATGATCAATTGGACACCTTTTAAGAAGAAACAGTTCGGCTAAATTATCATGGGCCAGTATCATATTTCACTAGTGCTGATGTAAATTATGTTGCACAAATTTTGGAACAACACCAGTAGTGTTTACTCCCAGAACCTGGCTTTCTGGAATCAGGGCACGAAGTCTCAGCAAAACTCTTTATCACAGAAATTCCAATGATAACCTTATAAGCCTTTACATTCTCAGTGAGAAGCTGAGAGTTAACAGTTCACAGTGAAGTTGCTAGGTTCAGTTCACAATCAGATCACAAGCATAACAACAAAAAGCCCAACTTTCCCTGGGTTTAGCGCCCGAAACAAGTCCCAGTAAGTCCACACTTCAACAGAAAGCAGGAAGCATTTCAGATTACCAGTGTATTGTACCAGCACAGTCCATTACAAGTTGCTTGAGATTCAGTACAGGAGAGTGGCCGCTGAAGAAACCTATCAGACAGGCTTCCGAAGGCTGGGCCTCTACGGCCACTACTCACTACCTCAGAAGTGGTGTAACAGGCCAAGTGCCCTGCGCTGGGGCAAGGTCCCACATTTGCTGGTGTGAGGTAACGTAATTTACATTAGCCATCGTCTTGAATGGAATACAGCCCTAATTTTACCACCCTGTCTTCCCAAGTGAAAATATCCAAATATGCTGGAACAATGGAAAACTACCATTGAACCTGATATTAGAAACTATTTAGAGTCCAGTAGGAGAATTGAGGAGGATCTGGTGGGTGTTTCAGAGCAGAGGACTGTGCAAAAGGGCACACGTGCTGCTGTCTGGTAAAGTTCTGCCATGTAGATCTAGCCATTTAGCCATCTGACACCTCCGTGTTCTAGTCCCCCTTTTTCTTTGATTTGCTGCTGTTTTGTTGGGGTTGATCCAGCGTATTTTTAAAAGAGAAGTGATGATAGGTGTCTGCTGGTTGGCCCCATAGCCTTTGGCTCGTGGGGTATTGCAGCAATTCATGTTGTCCCTTACGTCATTCAACAACGGCATTGCACCTCTGGGAAAGATTGTTTGGAAATGTGGGATGCAGTGCCCGCACAAGCATGCTCGTGGGAGTTTTGAAGTAGATGTTCTGAACTCATACTCAAGGTCACTGATGGACTGACAAGCTGAAACAAAATCGGAAGAAGTGCTGTGAGCTGGGAATTCCATCTGGACCAGATGTAGGGATACAACTGAGTTTGAGGGGGTTGCACCCCCCCCCCCCGAGATAGCCAAGATCACACCTTAGGTTTGCTCTTGGACTCAGTTAATCCTTGATGTGCAGGTGTTGCTGGCCATACTCTGACTGGCAGATGGCCATCTTGCAGCAACAGACACAGTCTTCTTCATGGTGGTGTCCACCCTATGGAATGACCCCCACCCCCCGCTCAGTTCTCAGGAGGCGAGAAATGGAGCATGCGTTAGTGAACCATTTCGTAATTCATGTTGACCCTGAGTGAATGTCCTGCTTGGTTTGTTAATTATGGTGTTGAATTGGTTTGAATGTTTTACCACTTATTTTAATGGGTATTAGAATGTATTTAGATGTATTTAATATCTTGCAAACAGCATAGAGGTATTTTAAACATGGTAAGTTCTGTATAAATTCATTTCATCATCGCCACCATCAACATAAAAATGATGTGGCGGTGTGGCAGTTCTGCCCAGAGGGAGTTTTGCACCTTTTCTCAGCTCTGGAAAAAATAGCCCAAATTATTCATGCTTTGGTTGCCATCTGTGGGGCTTTTGAAAAGTGTTCAGATTGGCTGCTCAGAACATATTGCAACAACAGCTCATCAGCTTTCCCAACCTAATTCAAAGTGCTGGTGCTGACTTTTAAAGTCCTATCATATACGTGAATATACACTTGTTAAGATCCACATCAAACACCTTGTTCCATGTGCTGCATTATTTACAATATGGAGGTGCCCCAGTGAAGTGAAACCTTTTTTAACTGAGATATTTAGCACTATGGAAAACTCTTCCTATGAGTAAGGAGCCAACTTTATTACTAGCAGCATTGTATATTTTTAAATGGAAAGGTAGGATACAAGTGTTTTCATAATATATTATTCATCATTTGTATATTAATTTGATAAATCATGGAGAGCTAGTAAGAACATTTGGGGGAACACTAATGGAGATGCTTAAAGGCATGCCTGGAAAAGAACATATGAAAGTGCAAATAAAGGGGAGCAGCTATTTACATTCCCTTTGATCTTTCATATAACAATTTATTTAGGATCAAAGAAATCTTAATCTGTGAAGAATTAATCTGAATCTGTCAGTGTTTTGAATTTAGCTTGGGAACCTTTTTCACTCAAGATAATCTTAGCTTATGTAACTAAATCTAAAACCAGCTATGTATTATACCAAACTGACTTAATATTTCAGAGACTTGGAATGATGTTAGCCACTTCATCCTCCTCCTAATATAACCATTTCGATAATTGACAGCTTACATAGTTTTAATAATGTGCTCCCAAATGTGTAGGTCATATGTATTTAACTAGAGGAAATGAAAAAAAAGTAGCAAATCGAAATTACATTGCACAAGTGTAGATTTTTCTGAAGCTGCTTGAAAAAAATAACGGCAAATGTGTAATGTTGAGTGTAAAGTTCGGACCTAGGGATTTTAAGCAAAATTGCTTTTGCATTTTCCCCTGTAAAAAAATATATATATATGAGTGTTCCACTACTTTGCTGAAATACTGATTCAGAAAATTACCTTCTCTCTAGGTTGATGGAAATATGAGCAAAATTTATTGCCAAAATCTGTGCTTGTTAGCAAAGCTCTTTCTGGACCATAAAACCTTGTATTATGATGTTGAGCCATTCCTTTTCTACGTTCTCACAAAGAATGATGAGAAAGGGTGCCACTTAATTGGATACTTCTCTAAGGTAAACGATGGATCTTAACATTACAGTTAAGATCTTGCTTCTTTGCTAAAGTTGTAATGCTGTTCTAGAATGTATAATTTCAAATGGAAATAAACACAGTTTTCTGGTTATAAAGTACAATATTGTAATCAATTTACAATGCTCTGAATGCAAATTAATTTTGCTTGTGTCATAAGCTCAGTGCTGCTATCATTTCAGTACTGCAAATCTTGTTGACTAAGTGGCATTTGGAACATTTGCTCTTTTGCACTTACTGGCTTTACTAGTTTGTTGAATTGTACTTTTAATTTATGTGACTTGTATGTGATTTTTTAAATAATCGTTGTACATACCCTTGGGTGCTTGGTAGAAAAGCAGCAAGTTCTTAAAATGAAATAAATCTGAGAATACACTTATTTAGTTCAGAAGTAAGTTATCCTGAGATACCCAAGGAGAACAGAATTGTGGGTTGGGTTCAGGTACCCAAATTTAGTCTGGCTCTACACTGTTTTCCTCATGTTCTGGCTATCACCTCTGTCACCCCTGATTCCCCTGCTAAAGAACACTGTGAGTTCAGTCTTCACTCTGTCTCTCTCTCTCTCAGGATTTTTGACCCAGAACTGCTTAAATTGAACTTTGTTTGACATTTTAATGCCCATTTCTCAGCTTAAGAAGATCTTTTGGAATTCTTCACTTTTGTTTTTCTTTTCAGCCAAACAAAAACTACAAACTTGGCCACCTCACTGCTCACCCCTTACTCAAAATCCTTAACATTCATTAAAAAGTTTAAAAGCACTGGTCTTAGTACAGCACCCTGCAGAATATTACCATTTCTGTCCCTTCATCTGCGAGAACAGATGTTGGAGAAATTCACAACAAATTCAGATTTGTCCAGATTTCTGTGAATCCAGCCTGCACATTCTGCAGCTGACTTTTTCCGAGTTGCACAGATGCCATAGACCTGCAAATCAATATTTAACTGTTGTAGGGATTTGTGCAAGTGTGTATTGACACAACTGTACATTTGCAAACAAGACTCACATATAAAAACCAGCTTATGTAAGCAAGCAGCCAACAGAGTGAAAGCTACATGACAGTCTGTGAAATACAGATGGAATTGCTTGAACCAGCTCCATATCTCCCTCATTCTGAGAGACATGCAAGTGATGCCTGGCCCTAGTTGCCAGAAGAGTGCTAGGGATTTCACTTTTGCATAGCACCCAGCTTCCTCCGGCAAACCCTGGGGTCAGGCACAAGACAGCCCCACCTGATTGCAGAAACTGTCTTGTTTGTTTGTTTGTTTGTTTGTTTGATTGATTGATTGATTGATAGTTATCTCACCTCTGTAGCGGAACTGGCTGTCTGGGCAGGTCTTGGAGATCCTACTGCAAGAGTAGCTCCCTAGATGGCCTTTTGCCTTAAGCAGCCAGATTACTCTTCCCCCCACTGTATTTATACAAGAAGATTATTTCTCTGTCTACTCTGAAGCAGATTCTGATGGGCTAAGGAGGAGGAATTCACTTTGTATTCAAACGAGGATGCATGTGGCTCTGTGACAACCATGCTTCCAGTATAATTTTAGATAAATGGTTCTTCTAGGTAGCAGTATTTGCTTAGAGGCAGATGAAAAAGAGGTGAAAAGCTGTCATATTTTAATACGGCCGTTACTTCTGAGCACACCTGCTGTAGCCAGTGAATGAATGTGTAAGCATGAACAAAGCAGTATCTCTTTCCACCCCATCCATTACAATATTGGATTTTTCTGTTCTTAATTCCCAAGGTGCCATCTTGTAAAATACAAGAGAGAGAGAGAGAGAAGAGAAGTTAGGTTTAGGTTGCTTCCCCAGTGGTATTATTTTGCATGGGATTATTCTAATTTTAGTGACCTGCTACTTGCTTCATTTCTGGAATGTTTTATATTTGCCCACTTAAATATTGTTTGGATATCCTTGATCAGTTTCTCTTTCTCTCAGGAAAAGCTGTGTCAGCAAAAGTACAATGTCTCCTGCATAATGATCATGCCCCAGTACCAAAGGCAAGGATTCGGAAGGTTTCTCATTGATTTCAGTAAGTGCGGGGCTTTATTTGCATTCATGATCTTCAGGGCTGACAGTTGTTATGGGGATACAGCAACATAAAAACACTATTTAACCTGTTTCATTGTTTGTTTTATCAGCAGTTAATGGGATTTCTGTTTCTGTTTGCATAGCAGCAGAAATGCTCCCTCAAGTGAAAGATAGGCCGCCTCTGTTGTGCTCCAAGAAACTGAGAAAATCTCTTTCTGCAGTAATATTAGCTCTCAAAGCTATTATACTGGATGAATTGTCTAAATTGCATTCATTTTATGCTGCTCATTAGCTCAGAGAGAGGCAATTATTTGTGATTAAAGCAAAGGAAAGGTGTTAGTCCTGGGCATTCTCTAGTTGCCAAATCTCTCTTAATGTGTGGTATACTTTAGCTGAACAGTGCTTATTGTGGGAAAGCATAATGTTGGAATTCTTTTTTTCCCTTTCTTTAAATAACATGATTGCCTCATTTTTGAAGTAAAAGCTACTTTTTCTCATGCAGTGTATAAATTGGGCTTAATTTGGGATTCTTCATCATAAAGTTGTATATTGGTGTATTTTAAGCACCTCAAAATATTCTTACATTGTGTGTGTGTGTAACATGACAGTGAAGCATAAAATACAGTTTAGTATGCAACTGATGCTCCTAAACATTTTGTCTTCTGAACTTCACAATTTTGTAATTTTGGAAAGGGTTATGAAACTCAGATTTGGGGAGGTGTTTGTTAGTACACCAAACTGTAGCTTCACAGGGAACATACAGCACAGTCACTAATTCAGAGACTACTATGAAAATTAAAGTGTATCAAATAGAAAGTTCAGAAGTGAAGTAATGGGCTACTTTGTTCCTGTGAGTTTCCCCTTCTGAATCATCTCTGGTGTTGCTCTGACCTTACAGATTATGCTTCTAGCTTATGGGTAAGAGGCAGCCTTTTCAAAAGAATTAAAAACTGCCCCCCTGAACACTCTCTCCTGCCCACTCCATCCGCTTCAGCCTCAGCTGGCATTGGTAGTGTTCCTTGCAGCAGCAAATCTTTTGCAGGGGGATTTGCTCCTCAACAAACATTTTATTTATTTATTTATCTGGGGCATTTCTAGCCCATCCAATCACTCTCGTCTCTGGACGGCTTATAGCTCCTTAGTCATTTGGGATACTAAAGGATAAGTTCTTCCAAGGGAGTCCTGGCCTCTAAAAATTACATCAGTAAGCAAAGCAGAGCTGTGCATTTCCTCCTGCCCCGTAGCCACCATTTTGTTGTGCCACTCAGACCTCTGATTGCTGCGTTTTCTTCTTCCAACCTTCGTTCTCTTTGCCCCAGTCAAGGAGCCCTTGAGAGCCACTGAGGGGAAAAAGGCCTATTTTTGCTTCTTCATGAGGGAATTGTCTTAGCAGCAGGAACAGTTTTAGAGCAAATCTTACCGGTTAATTTGTGAGTTGATTTTTCATCTGAGTAGGTGCAGAATGTTTTTGGACATATTCTAGCAATGTGAGGATTGTGCATGCAGGAAGTTTTGGTTTTGGTTGTTATTTTAATAATATGTGTCTTTTTAGCTCACAAACCTATCAGGATAAAACTTCGCTGGTATCACTATCTCCAACACTCCACTACAAGACAATGAGAGTCTTGCCCATCAGAGGCAAGTTGCATTTTATTTTCCATAACTCAGTGTAATCTCCCTCATGCCAGTGAAAAGACATGCATTAGAACAGTCTTCAGGCCATATTGTGTTTTTCCCCATGAGAATTAGATGTTCCTTAAGCTCAAACTGAGCTTTAAGTCCAAGGTAATCCTCCCTCTTCTGTTCTTTTAGGAATTAGTGCATCCAACCTTCTACCTAAAATCTAGTGATGCAAGAGAGGAGGTTTGGCATACTGTATGTGAAAAGAGCTCTCAAACTCTTTATATTTGAGACATTTTAAGTGAAGGCGTGAGCTCAAGTGGACTCCGGAGGATGGTGGAGGACAGGAAGGCCTGGAGGAATGTTGTCCAGCCATTTCAAAATGGTTTGCATTCTGGAATCTGGATAAGAATTTGGAGAACCTCCCCCAGATTGAGTTGAACTTAATCCAGAAGAAGGCCAGTAGTTCCCAGGGCTCTGCACTCTTTAGGAGCCTTTTGCAATGTGGTACCATCCACAAGTTTTGGATTACAACTCCCAGGATTACTGACCATTGCCTGTGTTGGCTGGGGCTGATGGGAGCTGAGGTCCAGAATATTAAGTGGCCACGTATTGATGAAGGCTAATCCATAGCATCCTGAAAGAAGTTAGGTGGAACATGAGTGTTCTCACAATACTTTGTGAGGCATTTCAACATTGATGAAGCAGAAGTTGTTTTTTAGGAGCAGGATTGTTCAGGTAACATTGTACCTGAGCAATGGCTCCCCTTTTTGTGCAGTATATTTCTCCAAATCATCTATTGTTTCTTACTATTTACTGGTACATTCCATAAGTAGGTGGTATCACTAGAGTTAATGGCAGAAATTCCTACTGCTGAGTTATCTTGTTTGAAATTTCCATTGATTCTCCAGCCTCTCCATCTGGGGAAAAATGCTTGATCAAAGAGTGACTCACACCCCATACAGCCAAATAATACAATACAAGATTTCTTCTTAGTTCTAGAAGAAGAAAAAGTGGGAATCTGCAAAGATGAGGCATTCCCTGATCTTGAACTCACTGTAGTTTAAGAACCTTGAAACATAGACAAAATGGAGAGAGTCTTCCTTGTTAACGACTGCTCAGAACAGAGTGGAAGTATGGGGGAAGGAATTAGCATGTCTTCATTTCAGATAAACTGGATTCAGTGATGTTCATTGAAAAGGTGCCATCCCACTTCACTTTGAGCACTCTTAACCGATTTTGTAGTTTTGCCATTTCATAGGTTAAGGTTTGGATAGTTATATTGTAAGGATGAATTAGTCCTCCTTTGACAGCCTGAATGGTCTGAGGGACTGCTTTGAATCTGCTCACTTTTTAAAATGCTCAGGAGAGACCCTTTCAGAGACCCTTTGTTGAGCATACTGGAAAGGACTTTCTCCTGTTTTGCTCCAAACTCTGGAATGCACCCTCTGTGGAGCTGCAATTAAGTCTTGCTCTCTCTGCATTCAGGAATTCAGTCAAGACACATCTTTTCAATGTAGTTCAAGATTGTTTTTAATGTTTAGCTACATTTTTATTATGATTTATATGGTTTAAATGTTTTATATACCACGTTTATTACCTGAATAGTGGCAATTCACTTAGAAAGTATGTGTTAAGTGTTGCTTCCAGATTGCTCTGTCTGAAGATTTCATGGTGGGGAAATGTAGGACTGAAGGGAAGGGTCTTGCTACTCCTTCTGCCCAATATATTCTTGACCTAGCAGGTGAATAAACCCTGAAGACAAGGGTATCACATTCCTACAGCTGTGGGGATACTGGTTTGTCCAGAATCTCCTCAATCGCCAGAGCAGGGGACTCATTTAGCGTAAATCTTTTGCTGCAGTATAAGGAACTTGGGAAGGCAGCAAAGGAGATAATTTTCCTCCTTACTCTGCCACAATTCCCCTCCCTGGGATGCAGCTTAAAAAAACCTCTGGATTATTTTGAATGAATCACTCAGTCATTCCCACTGGGTTGTTAAGAATGATGTGTAAACAAGTATTTCTGTGGCAGACCCATCAAAGCTATAGCCCATCATGGTTTACATGAGCTTCCGTCCTGCTTTCCTCCTGACTGCGGTATAGCCAGTCCACAGTGAATTTGTTTTTCGGCGCCAGGCAAAGAGCTTTTTATTCAAACATCATTTTAATTGCTAGTATTATTTCCTTATTTTATTCTTTGGCCAGGGCGACTTATTTTATATTGTTGATTCATTTTATATTTTTAATGTATTATATTTTAATTGATGTTTTGTGAGCCGCCCCGAGGCTTCGGCGAATGGGGCGGTATAGAAATTTTCTAAATAAAATAAATAAAAATAATTTTATTAGAGTCAGCCAAATAAATTGAGTGAGATGGTATAAGTTGGACCCAGTGGCCTTCTCAGTCCCTTTGAGCTCTACTATTCTGTGATTCTATGAAGTATATTGCCCCATTGTGGATTGTGGATTTTTTCTTCCTAGGTGCCTTGCTCAAGATAGCAGGAATATTGTTTTGGTCCTTATATCTCCTACAATGTTTTTCTAGGTCAGTGGGCAAGAAAGCATTCTTCTTTATCTTCCTGTATTCATATTCCTCTTCACAAAGTTAGATATCTGTAAATATTGGAATCATATTCCTCTTCACAAAGTTAGATATCTGTAAATATTGGAATCAATGAGGCAAGTCATTTACTATCCAGTCTCAGCTATATTCAGATAATTCCCTTCATGGAGAATATATTTGAATCTTAGTGCATTGTATCATTTCCATTTGTCCGTATTCCTTCTGATTTTATTATTGAAAACTACTAATGATGAAATTGGTTCATACATATTAGCAGGAGAGGAGTGTACAAGCTAATTTGCAAAAGTGTATTGCTTGAGTAAACTAACTTTCTGTGCCTGTCCCTGTAAAATTTAATAAGCATTGTCTGGGTGTTTGAGAGTGAGTGTCAAGAAGTATAATATTGACCAGTCATCCAAGGCTCACAGTTTTGGTGCCAACGAGTACATGGCCTGTCAGCTGTAATGGCACAGCCTCCCATTACATCACATGAGTGACGTTTTCTGGCAGAGACACTGGTTAAATGGTTGTATTGTAGGTCATATTTGTAGCGTAACCTGTCCAGGAGCTGAGAATTCATCAAAAAAAGCATGGAAATTATTTTCTGAAAAAAGTTTAGAATTTAAATAATATTAATATTAATAGCTGTTTGTATCCTTTGTATCAATATCTCAGGACAATAAATGGTCTCAATGATCAAACTAAGGACAATTAAAATAATTACAGATATTTAATTTCTGTGCATCATAAAGACTGGTTTTAGACATCTTAGGTGTTGCGTATTCCTGAAGCATACCTTTGACAATGCCTCTGTCAC